GGTCTCTCTGTAGCCCAAGCTCTAGTGCTTGACCTAGCCTTGGGGACCCAGGTGAGCGATACTCACTGATTCTGAGACTCGCATCTGGCTGTCTTTGTAAATGAAGTGTTAGTGCTGTCATGTCCAGCTGCCGTGTTCCCCACACCTCACTCCCTCAGTGAATTGAATCCAGGGCCTCAAGCATGCAAGACAGTTGCTCTGCCGCTGAGCCACATTCCCAGCCCTTTTTCATTTTGTTTTTGTTTTTTGAGATAGGGTCTTGCTACATAGGTCAGGCTGGCCTTGAACTCATTACGTAGCCCAGGCTATTCTCGAACATGTGGCTATCCCCCTGCCTCAGCCTCCTGAATCCTGGGATCACAGGTATGTACCATCATATCTGCCTTCCCAGCTCTGTTTGTTTTTTGGTACAGGGGATTGAACTCAGGACCTTTTGCTTCCCAGGCAGGGCTGTACCACTGAGCTAAATTCTTGGCCCTTCCCAGTCCTTTTTATCTTTTATTTTGAGATAGAGAGTCTCAAACTTTCCATCCTCCTGCCTCAGCCTCTCAAGTAGCTGGCAGTTTTAATTACAGGTGTGTGCCACCATGCCCTGCATTCTTTAGCTTTTGAGGCACTCAGCCTTCCTCTTTCACTCCTAATTCTTTTGGTTCTGTATACAGTGGACCTGCACACACATATACGCACATGCATGCACTCTCACCTCTCACACAAGTGCAATTCCCACAGAAGCCTCAGATTCCCTCTGCCACTGTTGCATCTGGCATTTCCCCATGCATGCAGTGCCACTGTCTACCTACTTCTATCCCTACCTGGTGCACCTCACCACAGCTGCTGTCTCTGGGTCTTCCTGCGGCCATGAGGCTGCCATAGAAATTGCTAGGACCCTGGATCATCAATGACCCTTCCCACTTCCGTCACTTGGAGAGAGGCCCAGTCCCTCCCTTTGCCTCCTCCAGCCCTCTCAGAGGGGACTGTGAGCCCCCAAAACAGAAGTCTAGTTGTACCCAGTTGATTTCAAGTTAGGATCAGATTACCTTCAGGGCCCATCTTCTTGTCTAATAGAGTCCCAAGGACCAGGATGAGGACAGTAGCCACCACAGCCCAGGAAATGCCTCTGGCGACTCAAGTTCCCATCTTCTCTTCAGCCGCTGCCAACAGCTGCCAACAGAGACATCAGCCTTGGTGAGGGCTCTGGAAACGTCCAGGACCTACAGTGGTCAGATTCACTGCTGATGGTGTTTGGTTCCTACCATTGGCTCCTACATTATGCAGGAGAGCGGACAGCACACCGCACCAGCCTGCAGCCAGGCAAACCAATAGGGTGTGATGTCCGTGCCCTAGGGCTAAGGCCTTACTTCTAGCCAATTGAACATGTGCTGACTGCATTGACAAGTGCCTGAAACTGACTATCATAGCCACATAACCAGTCGGTCTCCTCCCCAAGTTTAGAGCTGGAGATGTCAGGTGCTATCACAGGGCAGTTTGCACTGCCCCCCGCCCCCACGAAGGGAGAAAAGGATTCCATGGTCCTGAGCATTATGGGGTGAGTGAGAGATGGGAGACAAAGAGAAGCCCCAAAGATGAAAGAAATCTAACTTGGCAGGCTTGGTGTGGGAGTGGCTCCCAGTGGTTCTGATTTGATCTAACACTTCCAGCCCTCTCTTCTGGCCACCAGACAATTCTGCCTCCTAGAGATTAAGAAGAAGCTCACCAGACTCCTCATTATGAAACTGGAAGGCCTGTATTTTAGGAATTACCCTGAGAGGATAAAGAAGCTGTACTGAACTGAGCTAGCATCAATAAAGGCCCCTTCACTGACTTCATCTTATTTCATCTCACAGGAGCTGATAGGAGAAATGTCTTTCCATTTTATAGGTGGGAAAGCATTAGATGCAGTTTTAAATAAACACTGTAGAACTGGGCAAGATCTGTCTGGACCTCTAGTTCTGCGACTGTGTGCTGCTGTGACCTGGGGAAGCAGGATGACCAAACTGAGCCTGAGTGTTTCTCATCCTTGGAACTGCGGTCATTGTGATGGTTACAGAGTGGGCTGGTAAAGCACCTGGTATAGAACAAGAGCTCCTTTCAAAATAGAACAGGCTGGGCCGGGGATTTAGCTCAGCGGTTTGGTGGCCTGCCTTGCAAGCGCAAGGACCCGAGTTCAACCCCTGGTACCAAAAACAAAGCAAAACAAACAAAATAGAACAGGCTGGGGGTGCAGCTCAGTGGTAGAGAGCTCGCCTAGCATACACAAGGCCCTGGGTTCCTTTCCTAGTAAAAAAATAAGTAAATAAAATAAGTAGATGAAACAATGAATGACAAAATGAATGCTTGTAAAGGAGCTGATTTACATGTCACATTTAATTTAATTGTCCCACAGCCCTTTCTAGGGGTTCTTCTTCTTCTTCTTCTTCTTCTTTTTTTTTTTTTTGTACTGGGGATTGAACGCAGAACCTTGCAAGGCAGATGTGGTGCCACTGAGCTAAATCCCCGGCTGGAGAGGTTCTGTTATTGTCCTCATTTATAGATGAGAAACCAAAGAACCAGAGGAGTTCAATCCCTTTCGCAAGGGTTCCTGACTTGCAAAAGACAGAACCAGGATTCCAGCTCAGGAGATGCATATATTTATGACAGAGAGGTTCTGAAATTGGCCCTGATTACACAGCCAGGCTATGGGAGGAGAAGGGGACTGGACGTTTTGTTGCCTGTCCCCACCTCATCTGACGGACCCCTTAGCTGCTCCTGGTGTTACAGATACAAGGTGGGAATGAAATTGCTTGGAAAGTACCTAACCTGGGACAAGTACAACAAAGCTGTTAAATAATAAACGCGCTGGTACCCTGGCAGAGTCCCCGGAGCACAAGCAGGGGCAATCGAACCTTTCTCTGGGTATCATATGGGGAACGGGCCACTTGTGGCTGCTTATTGTTTACTTATTTACAGCCTGTGATGATATCACTGCGAGCCTGCAGGGCTGAGAACCCGTGCTCCGGTACAGGGGATGAGTGCGGAGGCATTCAGCGCAGGGACCTGAAGCGTCAGGAAGCAGTAAACTAGGCGCCCAGCAAAGCAGCAGGCCCGTGGGGACAGGGAGGAGGCTGCGGAGAGGGCACATGCAGCTCCACAGCTCCACAGCTCCACACACCGCCCCTCTTCTGCGCTTCCACAACTTTCCAGCCGCACTCCCAGGCCGGGCCAGGCTGGTGCGGCTCCCTTTCCACGCAAGCGTGGCTGGACTCTTCTGGAACAGTTAGGCCAGGGGTCTTTAGATTGCTCGCTAGCACGGTACGGCGGGTGGGGAGGAGCAAGGGCACATGTGCACGACACCCGTCATTCTCTTTCCAGTTCTTTCGACACTTCCACGGCTCCAGGAGAGTCTCCTTCTTCGGCCAGGGCCCCTTTAACACCTATCTGTGCTTATTTTATCTTGTTCTTTCTATTAACCAAGAGGAGCAGACTTTCAGTTCAAAATAGCAGGGGATACTATCTAGCAAGAATGTTTTCAACATAGCTGTCCATTTTGCATCGATATTTTATTACTTGTCTGTTTTGAAGTGATACTGCACTTCTATTTTTCTATATAGTTACAAAGTTTCTTTTAGAATACGAAGTTAAAAACATCCATTCTGAGCTGGGTCTCCTGTTGCCAGCCTGTAATCCCAGCACTGAGGAGGCTGAGGCGTGCGTTCGAGTCGAGGCCAGCCTGGGCCACCTAGCAGGACCGTGTACCAAAATACAAAACAAAACAAGCACTTTGAAGTTCAGGCTTCTGGGTTCGAAGCCCAGCTGTGCCACTTCACTACTCCTTCTGTGACCTTGGGAAAGTCAGCCAAGCTCTCTGTGCCTGGATTCCCTCTCCTGTAAGGGACAATAACAGTGCACAGTAGGACTTGGGTTGGTGCCCGCAGCTAATAAATGTCATACAAATATTTGCTGTTGTTAGGTCAAGTAGGGCAAAAACCAAACCCAAACCACTAACTGCAGTTTGGGGCACACTGCTTTGGGTCAGTTTCATCATTTTTCACAAGGAAACAAAGGTTTGGAGAAGAGGCCAAGCTGGAATCTTGGTAAGTTTCTAGGTGCCTAGTCTGATTATCAGCCATTTCAATAATTAATACAGCCCCTCAGCCTGGACTTACTCATCTGAAAAATGCAACTAAGGTGATCTCAATGTTTGTCATGTCAGTGTGTGTAAGGGTGGTTTAGAACATCAGTGTGGTGCGGTCTCTTGTGTTCTTAATGGGGGTAATATTGCTCCCAAAGTGGAAAGGATTGGTTCTTGGGCCAGGTGTGGTGGAGTACTCCTGTGATTTTATCATTTGGGAAGCTGAGGCAGGAGGACTGCAGACCATGTCTCTCTCTCTCTCTCTCTCTCTCTCTCTCTCTCTCTCTCTCTCTCACACACACACACACACACACACACACACACACACACACACACACATTCTTGGATGACAAAACAAATCTTTCTCTTTTTTATATATGAAGCACAGATATACATTAAGAGATACACAGTATACTTGTTATTAAAATTATTATTGTTTGAGACAGGGTCTCACTATGTGTTTCAGGCTGGCCTTTAACTCACTATGTAGCTCAGGCTGGCCTCAAACTCATAGTAATCATCCTACCTCAGCCTCCCAAGTGCTGGGATTGCAGGCGTGCGCCACCATGCACAGCTGAAATTATTAAAATTAAAGTTATTAAACTGGGCATGGTGGTGCACGCCTGTAATCCCAGCACTTGGGAGGCTGAGTCAGGAGGATCGCTGTGAGTTCGAGACCAGCCTGGGCTTCATAGTGAGTTCTAGATCAACCTCAACTACATAGTGAGACCCTGTCTCACAAAACCAAAAAAAAAAAAAAAAAAAATTCCTGATGGTAAGCGATTAGGAAAAAATTCTAAAGACTTCCTTAGAGGAGCAGTCGTGAATAATGAAGCTGAGAAACACTGCTGTACATGAAGGTTTTCCTACCTGGGACATCACCCACTGGTGCACTGTGAAATGATGACCAGCACTGGCTGGGGGCATGACACATGAAATGCCGCCTAGGGACACATCGGCATTGTGGTAGCATCACTGGGCTGGGGTGCAGCACATGCTTAGTGTGCTCAAGGCCTTGGGTTCAACCCCTAGCACCAAAAATAATAGTTTGCTTCCAGTTCAGAGTGTGTATGTGTGTGTGCGCATGTGCTGACTGCTGAAATGAGAGGTGTCTGTGGGTCTCTGGGGACAGTGGGAAGCCATTGCCTAAGCGCTGCTTTCCCCTCTCACCCTTTATTTCTCAGACAGGCTTGTGCATCATTGGGCTTTTGCCTTGAAATAAGGAGAATTGATGATGAAAGAAAGGAATGTAGGTGAGAGTTCAGAATCCAAGGGAAGTTAGGCCAGACCTTCCCCAGCACGCGGCCCAGAGCCTGGGCCCGGCCCTTCGTCCAGGTAAGTCGCAGCTCCTCCTTCCTCTCTGCCTCTCTTCTCCTCCCTGCTGAGGCCCAGGGCTGACTCTGAGGTTGATGCCTGACCTGGGGCAAATTATTTTTCCTGGAGTCTCAGATTTTTCAGCAGTAAAGTGGGGGAATTGTTTACAGGTTGAGAGGACCAACCAGTGACCGAGAGTCTGTGCTTTGTGTGCTGTGGGTGCCAGTGTGACACCAGCTGCTGAGTGCCATGGGAAGTGGTTTATGTGCATTCTCCGTACTGCAGCTTCACGGTGAACCATGCAGAGCAGGGCACTCCACTCCCCAGGGTACCTGGGTTCAAATCCCGGGTCAGGATCGAGTCATAGCCCCTACCCCTTTATGACAAGGTCACCAAGTTCCCCAGCCTGCCCAGGCTGGCTTCAAACTCAGAATCCTCCTGTCTCGGCCATCTCAGTAGCTGGGATTAGTACTACAGGTCTTTCCACCTTACCTGGCTTAACTTGGTGGCTTTTAACTGATTAATTTTTTTTTTTTTTTTTTTAAACCGGGTCTCACTAAGTTGCTCATTTGCCCAGGCTGGGCTCAAACTTGCAATCCTGCTGCCTCCCAGAGTCCTGGGATTACATGTGTGCACCACTGTGCCAGCCTGGTTTTTATTTTTATTTCATTTGTTGTTGTTTGCTTTGTTTTGGTACTGGGGATTGAACCTTGGGCCTCACGAAGGCTAGGCAAATGCTCTACCACTAAGCTACATCCTCAGCCCTGACCTACATACCTTCCTCTCTTCTTTCCTTCCTTTTTTTGGAGCGGGGGAAGACTACAGGTGTGGGGCACCAGGCCCATCTGTATGTATTTTTGTTCATATGTGGATTTTGGAATTTGAAATCCATAGGCTCCCACCCTAGAAATTGGCATCTTCAATTATTATCCTATAGTACTTTTTTTTTTCAAAGTTAAACTTTACAGTACTTTTTATATATATACAAAGAATTACAGTACATGTTTATGGGGACTCCTAGCACAGGGTTCCCCTCTTTTTCACTAGGAGTGTCACTTCCAGCTGGCAGTCTGTGGGGACAGGGGGACAACAGTGTTGGGCCTTGGCTGGAAACCCTGCCCCTCCCCTTTAAAAATATAAAAACAGATCTCTTCTGTCAGCTGCTTCTTTGCCAGGACTTAGAAAGCTGCTCTTCTATGAGGTCCTGTGGGCACTCACCACCCTCCACAGTCACCTAACACACACACAGGCTGCACCACCTCAAGCTGTGAGACTGCCTGCCCCACCCACCCAGGAAGCCTCATGTACCTGGACTGTTAAGTTTCTTCTCCTGTCCAGAGCTGTGCTGAACTCCCAGATGGTATCCCAGGGCCCCCATAGCCTGATATTCTTAGGGTCATGAGAAGGCAACTCTAGGGAAAGGACCACAGAAGAATTAAATATGTGCAGTTCTGCTTATGCTGGCAATAAACACATTTCCTCTGAGTCTATAGATTTCTAACTAAAATAAACTTTCCATTTCCTTAAAACAAATATTACCCTTAATCTTTAGAAGCAGTAGAGAGATGCTTCCATGAGAGAAGAGGCAGAGGGGCAGAGGGTAATGGAGGAGACCCAGAGCTCTTTACCAACCTGTTCCTGGTGGTGTGGCCAGAGGCTATGGACAAAGTGACCCCAGCCCTAAGAAACTCAGTGACTATAGTACTTTTTTTTTTTTTTTTTGAGACAGGTTCTCGCTATATAGCCCAGGCCATCCTCGAATTCCGCAAACTCAAAACTCGTGGCAATCCTACCTCCGCCTCCCAAATGCTGGGATCACGGGCCTGCCACCGCGTCCAACTTTATATTGCCTTTTATTTATTTTGGGTACTGGGGATGGAACTCGGGTCCTTGGGCTTGAAAGGCAGGTGGCGGAACCACTGAGCTACATCCCTGGCCCTTATATTGCCTTTTAAAGCAATAACTACTTAGGCCGTTCATATTTTCCCTACTCACCTTCTTTTACCTTCTTTCAGCTCCGCCCTTGAAATCAAGTCATCAAATTCTAATTGGTCAGTTCTCCGATAGTTGGTAAAACGCCCCACCCCTTCCCCAGCGGAAGCAAATGATAGGACATTTGTGTCAAGAAGTTGGCCAAAGAGAGGATGGCACAGTCAGTTACTGGTCCACCAATAGCGGGGTGACATTGCTTCCTCTCCAATGGCCTCAGCGCAGGAGCAGCCTCATACCCTTGCAGTTTGACACCTTCCCTGTATTCCTGGAGATCCCTTCCAAAGCCACTGGAGGGGTACAGGATGGCAGGCCCCAACTCCCTCCGTCCTGCCTGGGCCTTTCCCATCCCTGTCCTCCTTGGAGTGGCTGGGAGATTTTCCAGGCAAAGAATATATATATAAAAAATGTGGTTTCAAGCGTTCTCTTCTACTTTTTTTTTCCATTTTATGAGATAATAATTTTGGCTTTCTTTTTGAAAAAAAATTTTTTTAAAGTTTTGAGTATTTCCAACAGTTTGAACACCTCCTCCTTTCATTTCTGGAGTTCTGGGCACTGACCTCCCATCCTGTCCCTGAGAGGTGAGTCCGAGGAAAGTCTGCACATGGAGGAGCGATGCATGTCAGAGGAAGGGTGCACAGCCGGTGAGGGGGAACAGGAAAGGGTTTTCAAGTGGCAGGGGGATGGGTTGGTCCAGGCCAGCTTCAGGAACGACAGGGAAAATGAGTGGAGTCACAAGTTGGTTTAAACAGAACAAAATAAAACACAAAATGTCCAATTGCCCTAGATGGAGGATATTAAAAGTCCAGTAAGGGAGCCAGGTGTGGCGGCGCGTGCCTGTAATTCCAAAACTCAGGAGGCTGAGGCAGGAGGATCAACTGCGAGTTTGAGGTCAGCCTGGGCTACATAGTGAGACCTTGTCTCAAAATAAATAAAAATAAAAGTGCAAAAAGGATTCAAAGGAGATTAGAGAAGAGGAACAACTGGTAGCTTACAACGGGTACAGACAAGTGGACCTCCTAAGGCCTTGGGCCTTTGGGGTAAAGGGGTCTGAGGTCCTGAAACATGGTGAGTTGAAGTGCTTTCATGACTCTTTTTTTACCCTCTCTACTTCAGGCAGTCATGGCCCTGCTTTTTGTACTGGGCTGCGTCTTCTTCCCAGTGTGCTTCACTGTCTCCCAGTGGGGCCTGCAGCACCACACCAGCCTGCAGATGGAGAGGCGGGAGGCAGTCTTGGTGGCATCCAGGTAAGAAGACAAAGGTGATGCCGATGGAGCTGAAGCTGTTATCTTCAACTATTGATTCTGGTTCCAGGAAGAGCTAGCGATGGAAGCCAGTGGAAGTGTGGGGTGGATGGGGCTGGAGTCCAGAGTCCAGAGACCGAGCAGGGCACAGCAGTGCAGGCCTGTAATCACAGCTACTCATGAGGTTGAGGCAGGAGGGTTGCAAGTTTGAGGCCAGCCTGGGCAACTTAAGACCTTGTCTCCAAATAAAAAATGAAAGGATAGGAGATGTAGCTCAGCTGTAGAGCACCCAGGTTTTATCACCCATATTGGAGAAGAAGAGCCATGGAATCTGGAATCAGTCTCTGAGCTTCAGACCCAGCATTTGGAAGTGGACTTAATGGCAGCACTTGCTTCATTCTCCATGGAGCTGTGAGGAGGGCGGTGGGGATCAATGGCTCTGAAGAAAGGACTTCAAGTCCTGCAGCAGCAAGGGGTGCAGGCTGTGGGCGTGTCACAAGCGGGGGTCACAGCCACTCAGGGCAGCAGCTGCTCAGCTCCAATGAGACAGAGTCAGAATGTGAGCCCTGTGCTGTCTTCCCATTTGTCCTTCTTTTCACTGCTTTGTTTTGCATCAAACCTAGAGCAAGGCAGGTGGTCTACCACTGCCCTAACCCCAGCTCTACTTCTTTTTTTTTTTTTTTTTTTTTTTTTTTTTT